CTCAGACGTTGCCGGCTGTTTCTGTGAATATGTAAATAAATAGATATATACATAAAATTACGATTCCAGTTATCTTCATACCCGGGGGGGGGGGGGGGAGGGGGCGGGGCGGGGGGTATATTTCCGGCAGAAGCCGAAGTACGTTGTACAAAAATATTGTGTAACTGCAACTCCTTCCTAACTTTTCAAAACTTGACCATATTTGTTGTTTAGACAATGCTTCCATGTAATACAAGTAGTCTGATTCGCTTAAAGAAATAAAATATCGCGCATATGTCGCTTTTGTAAGATAAACATTAATACGAACATTGGTTATAACAAATGAAGATGACTGCAAGCCGCCCATGGTTCTAGCGATTCAAGCTTGAATTACATTTCATATTTGGGAAATATCTTGTAGTTACCTACATGATTTTCCTTCGGAGAGAGTATGAAAGTACGTTGTATTTAAATTTTATATATGTTTGTTAAACGAACTAATAAAGCAACTAATTACTTCATAAAATATATTTTAGAAATAGTAGCTGGTATGGTGGTGTCATTAAGGTTGGCACGTGACGTTTTTGCAGGGCAACCTGATCCGACGGATATCCCTCTACTTCAACAAAGAAAAAAGAAGATCATGCTGAGTGAAATGAGCATGTCCTATAATTTCATAAGCGTGAACTAAGAAAGAATAAAAACAAATTTATTGTTTTCTACTTACAGTCTATTTTCTGGTGGATGACTCTTCATTTGCGTGGGGCCGTTTGCGTCTTGACGCTGTCTTTGTTTTTTGTGCAACTCGTGTCAAAACAAATATTCAATATCCCATATAAAAGAGTTTTTACTCATTGTGTTGTGAAGGCTATTAGAAGTGTGCAGGTCTTGAGCCCACAAACAAGTGCACTACGTAATTTAAGGTAGACTCGTGGCATATTATCCTTCTCATTTATTAATAAATTTAAAATGAAACGGTCAAATAAAATAACTTAAGAAAAAAAACTAGCAAAGCAGTTTTGAAATGTGAGCAAATGGCATGACAATAGTTGATAGCTTTCCGTTGTAATTGCTTGGATTCGCTAGTGTTATCTAGTTAAAAGTCAACTCGATTTTTTCAGGGAAATCGGTTTCAACACAAGAAGAGCTAAATATTATATCAGTAATGAAGACATGAGAGACGTTTCTAATGCATTTAAGTATTATTTTGTAAACTGAGAAAATGTAACGTAGGTGAAAGGGTTTGTTAGTCCAATAAGTATATATTGAAACGCGCTTTGCTTGGATCATGCGATTACAACTATTTATGGTGTTTATGATCGTAAAATAATGGCCGCAGCCTTTACTTTCGAAGTGCTACAATTCATGAAATGCATTATAAGGAATTGGTGAGGCAATCGTTTCTGTCACGTGACGTGTGTTTTCCTGCTAAATTTAGTGGGGAAACTGACTTGTTATAGAGATCAAGTGACATCAGGTCATTAACGTCGATTTCCCTCGCTATAATTAGCGGAGAAACTGGGTTGGCGCCTGGGTCACAAGACGCGAATTTTTCCGCCACATTTAGCGGGTAACTGAATTGGTGTATAGGTCAAGTGATTTCAATTAACTTAAAAAATTTAGCGGGGGAACTGAATCGATGTTTTGGCCAGTGAAGTTTGATCGCATGACATCTCGTGACAACATTTGATCAAACTTTTCCGCTAAATTTAGCGGAACATGCACCGACAGATCGAGGATGGATGGGCGGACAAAATTTAGGAATGGAGGAAAGGGGCAGCGTTAAAAAGTGTTTCATGCTTTAAAAAGTAGTATAGTGACTAGTATCGCTACAGATACACCGAACCCGACCAAAGCAAAACTGGCCAAGATATTTCGCCGGTGGAAACATGAGAACGTTGAGGTGGCGAGACAACAGGAATACCTAGCTTGCGTAACGGTACGGATCGATACCGGGAACGCAGGTCCAAAGGGAGGTACGATAGAATAACATTTTGACCACGTAATCATTTCTTTGTTTGAGTTTGGAAATACGCCTCTTTTTTAACAGTTTTTTTATATTTATAAAAGCTAAACATACGTACTTTTTCATGGGTGGCTGTAGGCATAATGAACATCATACTTGCAGACAGTGAGCATTGCAAAATGGAAATGACTAAGGCAATAGTGATATATTACTGAACTCTTCATAAATATTTCACTTGTAGTAGAAAAAGTGATTCCCATAAATGGTCTCACAAAGGCTCTGCGTAAAGTTGCAACATGACAATTCTTCGTTAAGGCGGGACCACATGAGTAAGAAACCATACCTAAATCGCACGAATTTTAAAAAAAAGAAAAGAAACAGTTTTAACTTACTGTCGTGAAAAACATACCCTGGACTATTATTTAACGCGCAGAAATCTTAGATATGCATTTAACTAAACGGTATATTTTATTTGAGTGCTGGAAAAAACACGGTTTATTAAAGTTAGCATAAAACGACTTTCGCGTGTTCCGAATTTTGTGCGCCATTCGGAAGATGTTTTGTGCATGTGTTTCAGCCTTTACATTCTCGCTTCAACTTGGCACTTGTTGGGAGGGCGGATTCATTAACGGTAAGTAATATGTTGTTGTGGTGACGCAACGTTATGTTATCACCGCCTCGGTGGGTTGGCACAGGTCCAATGGCGTTATTGTGATGGGAAACCTCTTTCACCGTGCCTCCAATATACCCTCAGTGTCTGACAAAAGGCACTCTCGAGGCCGTCCTTTCCTCCACTCGTGGTGACCGCATGAGGTCGCCACGAGCAGTGATGATGATGATGATGTTCATAATTAACCTGGTTAATAAGGTACAACATTATCATCATCATCACGCGTAGTGTGTTTAAATTTCAGAGTGTTTCCGACTCCTCTATTGGGGTCACGTAGTCGGGTTTGCAGATGTGCTGCCAGGCGCGAAAAGGTGAAGAAATCATTGGTCGTCTTCAAGGGTCTCCGCCTTTCCTGTCGCTTTCCTTCTTCCCACGCGAAAATGCAACTTTCTCTCTTAAATCCGATTTCTCTAAGTACCTGCTGTGTCTACGTCGTCTGCTTCGAATGCCTCCGTCCGTTTTGCATTTGGCGCTCGGCGTCGTCTGCCTGTGCTTCACCGCGAAGATTGTTAAAATGGCCTCCTCTTGTGTGCCTCGATGCAACTCGGGTAAACAAAAAAGAAAAAAAAGAAGCCTTTAGGGCTTTCATTTCGCGAAGTCCCAGCTGACATTGACTTGAGAGGAAAGTGGCTCGCTGTGATTTGACGGGAAAACTGCACACCGAATGAAACGTCGGGCTGCACTAAGGTTCGAAGCGAGCACCAAAACTAATGCCGTCTGCTTCTTCCCAAATATCAGAACATTTAAATGCCACACAGGCCAATCAGAGCTCTAGCATTTCCTCATGGCCACTTTTCCGCATGCGCGGGCGGTACGGCGCTAGGGTACCGCCATTGAGTTATTACAATAAACGCTAGAGGCTCAGCTGGCGCTAGTGTGCTGTTGCAAATTGAAGCAGACAGCATCCAGTCAGAAATTGACTTCCGGTAATGCATTTCTATGGGAAAAAGCGAGTGCATTTTCTCTCTGCGCTCGATTATAAGAGCAAATATCACGAATAACTTGTACACATTGGAACATTTCTCAATCAGGCAGACGAAATAATTGGTCAGTTACAGCATTTTTATTTGAAATTCGCGGCGTTAAAAACGGTGTTAAAACCGCTTCGTACGTGTATTTATGTGCACTGTCGGACACTGTTAGCGTGAACACGGCGTCGACGCTTTCCAGCATGGGGGATATACGTGCCAAACAAACGAACGACATGTGGAAAACCCAGAGAGACGGCAAGAACTACGCAGTAACACTGGGTAAGTAACTCCTTGTGCTTGCAGACGATCAAAATAAGTTGAAAGTCACGTAATATAGTCCGATTTGCAATAAATAAGTACTGCTTTATTCTTTCTGCTCATGAATATGTGAGAAGATGCTTGTTCTGTGTTCAAATCATCGCCCCACGCTCCAAACCTTTGCAAATAGGGGGAAGCCAGAGAACAGGTGCGCGATAAAAACTGGCCAACATAGGAAATAATAAGAAAACACACCTTTCGTAGCCCACGTACTTTATTCTTTACGTTTCGAACGTTTTTTTTTAACGGCTCGTAGAGATGCACGACGGGGTCATTTTCATATAGTGAGAGGACAGGCATATTAGCAATATATAAGCACCAACGGAATGCTGGCGAACTTTGAACACGCTCTACATTCCTTTCGATCGTTATTTTGCTTAGAATCGCCGCTCGTTTTTACATACCTGCCATGGAACAGAAGTTTGGGCCTGAAATATAGCGAAGTTTAACATCGTTCAGTGGTAAAGGAAAAATGCTGTAACTAAAGCAATTACACTTTCACAATATTAATAAAGGTACATACTACCCGCTACAACCAAAATAACAAAAGTTATTAATGTTATTTTCCGGCGACGAGGCAAAATTCACGCGCGTTTTCCCATAGGAATACACAGGAAGACTGGAAAAGTAGACTGCATGCTGTCTGCTTCAATTTGCAACCGGAAGTCCCATAGACACTAGCGCCAGCTGAGCCTCTAGCGTTTATTGTAATAACTCTACGGGTACCGCCTGCTCATTTGGAACAACCAGAACGTATTGATGGGTGGGCCTCCAAGCGGTAAAGCTTTTAAAGGGGCCCACCAACAATTTTTTGACCGGTTCGAAGTTCGCGCTGAAACGGAGCTCCATGAAAGCAGGAACACCGAGGAAAAAAAATATTACAAAAATTCGCAATATTTTGTGAGTTATTGGCAAAATAAATATTGCAGAAAACAACTTTAAATGAGCAAAACATTGCGCTGCATGACGTGAAATGAAACAGTTTAGCGATTGGAGCAAAGCGGTTGGCCAATGGGACGCGAGTTTGGTTGATAGCCCGGTCGGCCCGGTCGGCCCGTCGTCGTTAGGCCTGGATGCAACCATCGCAGGGTTGGGATCGGGTTGCCATCATCGATGAATTTACCGGGCTTATCAGATTTTGAGCGCCGAATTCTTAAAAGGAGTGCGGATCTGGGCGTCGCGCCGTACGAGGACACTCCACGCAAGCGCCGCGACGCGTCTCTGCCTCCCTCCGCTTCGCCAGTCGCGGAAGACTCGTCTCCCGCAACTCCGCCACCGGAGCCACCTCGGCGAGTAGGAGATACAAACTGGTGAGCGTTCCCCTTGGGCACGATATAAAACATATAAGCTGGGTCCTAAGTAAGCTTGCAATCCAGGTGCGACTGCGGCCGCTGCACGGCCATGCCTACAACTCGGGAGTGTTTTTGCTGCCGTGAGCTGCCACAAGTTGTTCGGAAGCAGCCGGCTGAGTGCATCACGGTGCACACCGACTTCTTCAAGCTGTGCCTTGACGTCGCCGTCCTCGCCGTGGCGTACTGCGAGGTCCGCGAGAAGGGTCTCGAACATTCCCACGAGCTCCACGAGTGAGTGCAAATGGTGCTAGCATAACACGGCAAAATGAAACAACAAAACGTGATCGCGCGCATACGAATATCCTTGATTACTCAGTCAGGTAGATACATAGTAGCACAACCGACTTCGTAGCAGGCGTTCGCTTTGCTAACACTTTACGTGCTCCCAAAAGAGCACAACCTCCTTCGTAGTGTTCGCTTTGCTGACACCTTACGTGCTCCTAAGGCTCGCCGTGCCCGAAACAAAAAGCCTCATCACACATGAAAATATAAACTATCTAAACGCGTTCTCATTAAACCAGCGAGTGCGGCAGTTCTTTCAAAAGCTTGTCGGAAAATCAAAGACCTGATGAGGCCTGCTTTCTGCCTCTCAGCTGCATCTTAGAACATGGCGGTTCTGCCTTCAGTTCTACAAGAAACATTGTTATTCTTCCTCTCCAGGAAGTATCGCTTTGTGGCATACCGGCAGTTCACCCGCTGGATGTGGGGTCGACTGGGAGCTGGCAACAGACGAGTGCTGCCTGCGTGCGTTGTGGAGAAAATAAGAAAAACCTTCCCCTCTCAACAATACACTGGCTTCAAGTATCCTCCTCTGGACTGCGCACCAGTGGATTGCTGAGGTTGGTCCACTACTCGGTCCATGTTTTGAACCATAAATCAAGAACTGACATGGAAGCTGTGGTTAATCGTAGCTATGTAAATAGACGGAAGTTTTGTAGAAAAAATCGTAAGGGTGCAGGCGAGCTGGTGAATATTAACCAAGTTGAATTAACCTGAGACTGGGGTAGAGAAGAAACATCAAAACGTAGAAGGGACAGAAAATAGACAGGACGACGTCTCAAACTCAGCTGAGTTTTAGGCGTTGTCCTGTCTATTTTCTGTCCCTTCTACGTTTTGACGTTTCTTCTCTACCCCAGTCTCAGGTTAATTCAACATGAGCAAGTTTTGTATTATTTGTTTCAATATCAGTCGCGACAGTTTCAACGTATAGAAAGCCAAGCATGCATTTCTAGCGTTCTTCCTAGCAATCAGACATGGGCATCGAGCACATTTGAAGTTGCAATATTAAACATTGTTTAAGTAGCACCTGAAATCAATCCTTCTGTAGGCGTCGTGCCCTTTGCCATTCTGCACCCTAATAAGTCACTTCATCTCTTTCCAGCCAGGAAGCCGTCCAGTACACCCCCGATCCTCTGGTACATGGATCACCGAGTGTAGAGCATTATGCGGTACGGCTAGAGAGAGACCAGGGTGCAGCAACCTTGTGGCTGTACAGTGTACAGCCACAGAGTTGCTGCAGCTTGTGCTTTCTCTAGCTGTACTGCTTGGCACTACCCTTGAGAAATGTTTGGCAGAACCCCATTTCTACGGCCTTTATCAAGGCCACTCATCTGCAGTATATCGGAGCTGGCAACCAAGCAGAGCCTCCCTCCCGTGTCTCGTAAGCTTTATAAATTGACCAGCTGAGCTCAACACAGATAGCCCAGCTGCGTGTATGCGCCAGCATCGAGCCACCCAAAATGGTTGCAACAGGTAACTCTTGGCTTCTTTTTTTTATGCCCTGTAAAGAACATAGCCAGGAACATGACATACAGGCTACTCATTGGAAACTTCTTTGGTTCATCCATACATTTATTCACTTCTCAGTTCCGGTTTCTCCACCAATCTTGTCGGCATGAAGACATTCGTGGCAACCTTTAGACTTGACTGCTCTGCTGCTAGAAAACTTGCTGTGGTACCTGCATGTCTAGTAATTAGTGGGTAAATGCACTGTGCCTATAGGTGGCAAACACCCATACCATGAAAACAGTGTTGCGGAGTTGCCACTCTGAAGTCTGAATGATTCCACAATCATTCTGCGACTCCGGAATAGAGTGGATTGGCGGCAGTACTGAGAAAAATTAGAAGGGAATTAGTTGCATCTTGCCAAGAATTGAGCAGGGATGAAATGTGTTCTTATGCAAGCTGTGTCGATGCGGTCAAAGGGGCTTTTGAGACGGCATCATTGCACTCTAGGTAACTGACGGCTTGGTTATCTGACCGGCTCATGTTCCTTCAAGGTTGAAAATAGCACCCCAATGAAGCAATTAAAGCTAGCGTTGTAAGCAGACAAGGTCTCATTCGTGGTGCCATGAGACTCGGCAATGTGACTTCTGACCATGTGCAAATAGAGCACCAGGTATGAACAGTGCCACAGTTCCCGTGTTTTTTTGATGCACGACTCCTCATTTGCCACATATCTCCTAGGAGTGGTTTTATAAATAAGGTCCTTTTCTGAAGAAAATGGGTGGTTTGAAGTTTTTCTATCTGTTAAGGCTTTTTGCTGTACTATTATACCAATGCGCCAAGAAACTAATGGAGAGGAAGAGACGAGAGCACGGGGATGTCAGAATGCTGAGCTCTGGTTCAAATGATTAGTGGGTAGACGTATAGGCCAGCGCGCTGTCTACAAACAAGCCCACACAAAGTGCGTGCAAATACACAGAAACTAGATTTGCATGAAGTGGAGCATTTGTGCATGCGCCCTGCCAGTAGCAACGCCACTACAGCAGCATGACGTCAGGGACGCGTGTTAGTGTATAGCTAGCTGCTTTTGTCTCCACTGCACTGAACAAACGCGCTAGAACGCCGGCATCTGGCGTTAGGTCCTCGCATTTGAGCGTGTTTAATTGCAGTGTGGAGGCAACGGTCTACCCACTAATCATTCGAAAGATGGGTCCATGTTGCGACGTGCTCTTGTTCCCCTCAGTTTTTCGACGCATTGCTATCAGTGTCATGTGCGACTACCGCCTGATAGTGCCTTCGGAACTTTTTTTTGCATATTTTTGCAGTTGTCTATGCCTTTTATAACGTCAGCTTTATACTGACGTTATTTGCCGGCAACTTAACCCCTTTGACACCCAAAAGATTACTGGAAATAGTGGAGACCTAGAAACCCTGACATAGTTTAGAACACACAAAATAAGAGAAATCTTGTCTTAGAAAAAAGTTACCCTTTTTGTAATTTTTTTCAAAACATTGCTTGTGAACAACATTTCAAAACCCAGTGTTTCCCTTCTTAGGAGTTCAAAGAAATGAAATTATTGAAAAATTCAATTCTGTGGAATGTATTTGGAATGAAAAGGGGGTGCTCATTCTGCAGCACTGCATGAAAATCCCTACATGTGGCCCAAGACCTTTGTGCAGTCCACAATTTGAACCGTCCAATTATTTTGCAGGTTATAGTGTTATGCTAAATAAACAATCCACAGGCAAGCAGAAACTCCACTGTGATAACCGCATTGTGTCCGCTTCATGGGAGACGTGCTCCCTAGCAGCTGGGATCTGCCAAAAGGCTGCACGTGATCATGATCTAGCTCCCATAAGCCAGCTTGGGAATGTGCAAGGAAATTGGGGGATGCTGAAGCAAATGCTGAGATAAACAAGGAATTGGCAGCAAATGCACTAATCTGTATTCTCTCACATAGGCAGCATGCCTGTGAAGCAGGCATGCTGCCATCGTTGCATGCATGCTGCAACTACAAACTGGTAGAACATCGAATTTGTACTCACAACTTTTGTTCCTTTCCAAATACTGCATTGAAAAAAGAGACACGGGCGTCTGAAGCCGTCGCAAGACGTCCGATTTTCGAGTGAGAAGTGGTCCTGAAAAGGACCGTTGTTTTTTTTCTCTGCGTGACGGTGATGGACCTCTTGGATCTGGTGTACCTGGTGACGGCCTTGGTGCCCTCGGCCACGGTGTGCCTAGCCAGCTCACCCGGCACCAGCGGCTGCACAGCCATCTGGTTCTCGCGGCTCGCGATGGTCGAGCGCTTGTAGTGGGCCACGGCAGGAGACCTCAGCCTCAATATGCTCGAAGGCGTCGTTCATGAAGCTCTTCATGGTCCACATGGCCCCGCTTGACGCGTCGGTGTCTGGGTGGAACAGCTCAAGCACCTTTTATGGTGTAGATGCCGTGACTACTTCCTCCTGTGCTGCTGCTTGTCAGTGGTGCACACATTCTTCTGTGCCTTGCCAGCCTTCTTAACGGCCTTCAGCTCATCTGAGGATGCGTCCTGCACGTTCAAATAAGCAGACAGACTGATTGAAGAAACGAATGAACAAGTGCAAGCGCAATAAACCTAAATCTGTCTGTTTTTGATAGCGTACTGAACTGTTGCCGGCATCCACAACAGCATTCAGCGAGACAGTGCGTGCACTCTCATTTGTGCCATCCTGCTGATCAACCGTGAAGCTGCCCATCTTGCTAAAAACAAGATAGCTTAGCGGACCCCAGATTCATTTGCAAGCTTCAGTACTCGTTCATTCTCTCTTCAAACACACAGCAGCACAACACCAAGAACAGGAGGTGTATGGAATACAAAGCAGTGGGGTAGAGCAACTGCTTGGAGCATTCACCTCATGAAGACCCTGCTGTCCCTCTGCTGTAACGTGACATCCTCTGTTCCACCAGCTGCTCCTTTGGGAGCCTCGGGTAGTGAGCTGCCATGGGGAGGGGGGCCCGATCCCGGGGTCTGTTGCCCAAGGCTTCCCTGAGGGAAGACTCGTTGCAGCAGGCAGCAGCCTCAGACAGCAGCTGGCCCACGTACGCTGTAATTAGGGCAAGCGCAGATAAAGGATGTTACCCATCACATATGTCAAGGAACTAAAAGCGTCTCTGCAGCACTTAGATTGTCTCGGAATGACTGTCCAGCGGGTAGTATCTACGGTGCCAACAAAATTATATGAGCCTCACCGTAGGTTGGAGGGGTTTTCACTTCCTTGAGACGATCGGTCCCCATCTTCCCTCTCTGCATCCTTCGCTTGAATTTCGGCTGCCCTTTGCGCGTCACCGCTTGGACCCTTCCGGAGTTTTCGTTGTGGTGCAGAGCAGCCAATCTGGTTCTGAAGCAGAAATATTGTCCGCAGTGAAAAGCATTCATGGGGACCTGCTAGAAAAAACAATCGACTTGCATATGTGCCTAATTAGTTTACAGAAAACAAACCTTGCATGCATGATGGGGCCTGTGAACGCCACAGACTTGGGTGCAAACCTGATGAGCATACTATGGTAGGACTCGAGGTTGTACGTGTGGCCTGCAGGTGACACGTGCTCCAAGTCCCTCAGAAGCACTTTTTGCATGGTAATGCTGACAAAGCGCTTGTGAGCTGGTGTACCTGGAATCATGATTACATGCTATGCAGCTTCTATTTTTTTTACTTAAATGTGCAAATTTACCAAATTTGCTCAGAGAAAAGTAGAGTTAGGTTTTCAGCGTGATTGCCTACTGACCTAGAGAGAGCCACTCTCTGTCCCCAACGAGGGTGTCGTGAACACAGCGGTCGTACACCCCTCCATGGCCAGTGTGCTTGTCGAGAGCATGGTTGTTTATGCCTGAAATACAAGGTTCATTTTTTAGAACAATGCAAACAGTTTGTGAAGTTACGAGAAGTTACGAAACAACTTTCAGGCGTGACAGCATGCCTGTAACCTTTGCCGTATGCCTAACACGTTGCTGTCTACGTGACAGAGACCAGTCTTTCAGGCCTTGAGATGTCCCACGTAAACAAAATCGTAGCATCACGGAGACATGTCGACCTGATCAAGATATTTCGACAGTTCCGCATTCGAGCCAAACAATTATGCAGGAATTATTTGCTCTATGTCATTCTGCACTGGATCATAGATACCTAAATTGATACTCATTTGTGTTGTAGTGCACCTGCTAGCCTGTCAAATGTCTGCAATTGTGTTCTGTTATCTATTTTGACTGGTAGACTTGCTGATACAGGCATGTTTCAACTGTAACCCCCTTTGTTATGATATCGCCTAGACGTGCAAATATTCAAAACAAATGGGGCTGGTTATTTGGCTACTTCGAACATTTTTGAAGTTTGAGAATGCTGCAGGATATATTTTTATTAATTTAAAAAGCAAGGAAAACATTCAACAAAATACTACATGGATATGTGCCTGTATACAGTCTAAGCTCGTTACGTTATAACAGACCTTGATTTTGACCAAGATTTCGGTCTGTTATAAGAGGAGTCTGTTGTATGCAGATATGAAGCGGAGTCAATGGTATGTAGTGGAAAACGAACCAAACTTCACAATCCCTATGTTATATCCAAATGTCTGTTGTAACCAGGTCTGTTGTAATGAGTTTAGACTGTATGTCCAGTGTTTTCTTGTGCCATTATTCCATAAAAATAGAGGTAAACCTATAATGGTAACTAGACTTGATCTGCGAAATTTCAAGTGCAACAACCAAATTCAGATACTTTCCTGTAATGTTTCTGACTAAAGCGGTAAAGCTTTTGGCACGTGGTACTAACGCAAGGGCTATGACATGTAGGCACATTTGGTTTAGATGAGTCATGTACAATGTTATCAAAGGAGGTTGACTTGGTGTTAAGCAGCCGCCATCCTGCCTTTTTGTGTAATATTTCCCTGCAACGTTTTAGCTTGTTGCTGTTGACACCATTGCCGTCTTGGCAATAACCCTCCGTGGCACTGAGATTTTGTTTTCGTCTCGAGAGCGCAAAGTTGAGGGTTCAAACCATCTCTGGTTCCTGCCCACGGAGTCTTTGGGGCATCACTTATATCCTCAGTTGCTTTGTGACGTTGGATTCTTGTAATACTGCCACGATAGTGTACTGAAGAGTTACTAAAGTAAAGAATAGCAGGTCTACATTTCATCTGTACATTTCCTTGACAGCTTTGAAACATACATTGGAAAAGACTGCTAGACAATCCTTTCTTCACTGAAAGTTCTACATTTGATTTTTTTTTTACTTCCACATCCTTGTACAAGTATTTGGTTTGATTCAAAATTATTCTTGCAAAATAAATACTATTATATTACCTTTGAAAAAATCGTAAGGGTGCAGGCGAGCTGGTGAATATTAACCATGTTGAAATAACCTGAGACTGGGGTAGAGAGGAAGCATCAAAGCGTAGAAAGGACAGAAAATAGACAGGACGACGTCTCAATGACGTCGTCCTGTCTATTTTCTGTCCCTTCTACGCTTTGATGCTTCTTCTCTACCCCAGTCTCAGGTTATTTCAACATGGTTACTATTACCTTTGTGCTCACTTCGAAGTGAAAATTCACTACCTGGGCACTTCTGTATATAATAGGACTAAATATTGACAAATAATTGACTCACTCTTCCACATCTCGACGAGGAGTTTTCCATCCTCTTCACAGTTGGCAGCACACCAGTACAGATGGTTGGAGGCAGGCTGTGCCCAGTATGCCAACACTTCACACCGGGCGTACTTGCTGGCCTTCAGCATCTTTTTGCTTATGCCTGGAAGAACAGTTAAAAAAAAAACTAAAATCAGTACACAAATTGCACCTTACTCCAGACTTGTAGACCGACTAACATAAGGACTGCAACATGACACTAAATCAGACTAAACTGATGATAGTCAGGGTTAGGCACCTTTTGCAATGTGCCAAGCATCGAAGTAATGGCGTGTCTGGGGTTCTTTGCTCCTCATGTGGCCCTTGATCCCTAGGTGACGGTCAGTGACGAGGGCCTCGACCGTGACATCCTCCTCCTTGAAAAAAGTGAGCCCCTTGGCACAGCCATGCAGCTCCATTGCGTTGCTGGACTTCACCTCGGGGGACTGTAAGAGAAAAAAGCAGTTGCTCGTGTTTAAGGACTTGAGCACCGACTGCTAAATGAAGCAAAATGTATGGCCTGTATGTAGGTATAAAACAGTCCATCCTAAATTTCCACACAGACTATTCATGAGCAAAGCTATAACACTATAATAAGGAAGCTCTGGCTTTTGTAGTGCACTTTGTATGAATATTGGCACATGCAGCTTGAGTGATGTCAGCGTCAATGCATAGATGAACTGGTGGTATATCGCTATCCTTTAACTATTTCCTATAGCTCGGAGCAAGTAGACACTCTTTTTATCTACTTGGTCAGTGCTACACACAAAGTGAAGCCTTACTCTTGCAGTAACAAGCAACATCAATATTCTAACCCTCCAGGAAACGTGCAAAACTTGCCTCTCCAAGCTGCACTTGGACATAGTGGAGGATCTTGTTTGTCTCCATCTCCATGAAGGTGTACGTCATGAATTTGGCCGAGTACCCTGGAGAGTCGTACCTCCCGTCCCCAGCCAAACGCACCGTCTTCCCCTGTCTCGCTTGAAGAAGGCTCTGCTGCTCTCGGATCCACACCTGAAAAAGGGTTCGGAAAACGTTTTTCGAATTTAGGCTAGGCCGATGAGTTTCATTCCACATTCTTGAGCTCTTTCTATTGTTTATTAATAAATTTCTCAATAGTTGCTGTACCCATTACTGAGGGGATTGTAATGACGACAATGAGAATGTGCTGCCCAAAAAATGTTAAAGGGCACGAGAAAGATAGCGATTATGCAATGGAACTCACTCGTTCAATTGCAGGCTGCAGGAATGCTGCCTGGTGATTGAAGTACGTGCTTTCCGAGAAGGCTTGAATATTGATGAGCCTTAGCAGCCTGAGCACCTTTGCAGAGCAGGAGCCGGTGAACAGCATGGCACCGGAGAGGAGCAGGTTGCAGGCTGGCACGTTGTTGATGAGAGGCTGGCTGAGCCAAGTCCTGCTGTGCTCGCTTTGGCACACAGCCGTGGCCCTCACTAGTGTGCCGTCTGGTACAATAGTAACTTTACATGGCGCTTGGCACATTATGCATACGCGGAGCAACTGCAATAAACAGCTCTCAAACACAATGTACTTGGGCTCCTCGTGCAGGGGGGCCGTTGAGGTTGAGTTGCTGCAAAAAGTATATTCTTGGGGTTATTCGAAGACTTGATGGGCAAATGGGCAACCTTATCGATTTTCATGCACTCCTCTTCTACTTTTGGCACAGCATATATTCAGGCAACTAAGTGGCATCTCAGTATTCTAACAGCCGAATGCACAAACCTCGCTCCCATTGGGGTGCCCCTCCACTTCCTCGAGGAAGGCGCGAGGGCCAGTGCAGGCCTTAGCACCTTCAACGTAGAAATGGAGGGGTGCCACAAATGGAGTGAGGTTCGTGAATTCGGCGGTAGGGCTTTCTTTGCCTATTGCTCTTCAGATGTATGTTTGTTCAGAAATATATCATATCTGTAATTGGTGTTTTTCCTTCGATTTCTACAAAAGTGGCGTCTACAAGTAATTATGGTGGAAGAAATGGGGGTTTAGATGCTCTCCAGAAAAAGGCAGTGGAGTGTTTACATAAGGAAATAAAGCTTCAAAGTGAGGCTACATCAATAAGATGTAGTGCAGTTACGGAGAGGTGAGCCAGCAAGCGCAAAAACGAACAACTGCACATGGATGGGTTCAAGTGAAGGCACACTTCTGTGGCAATAGCAGTCAGTGGTGTATCACCTCAAGAAGCTCTCGTCCCAAGAAGCCTCGTACGTAGTGTCTGCAGGCTCTTCTGGAATAGGGCTTGAGCACATGCCTGGTCTTTCGAAAGAGAGGTCGGCCTCCAGAAATGGCTGGCTTGTCGGCTGGTACGATGGGGCAACCTGCTCTGTGGCGAAGTCCTCGCATGCTGGCATTTCAACTGCTGCTGGCACAGGCACTTGCTTCATAGCAACTGGAGCAGGATCCCTGCGCAGAAAAACAGTTGTAGGCTGGCACGCTGGTGTCTCAACTGCTGGTGATGGAGGCACTTGCTTCATGATGGCTGGAGCAGCACTTGTACATGGAAGAAAAGCTGGAAACTCCCATGGGTCTGTCTGCGTCTCCTTCGACTGCTTGGCGGACAAGTTCACCTGTGTGCCTGGAATGTTATCGGTACATTGTACTGTGGTTGCTCCCCTGGCTTGTTCAGAATTTTCGGCACATGGTGGGTTTTCCCTTGGCCTATGAGAATCTATGATGCATTCGGTGGCTGTCGTAGCCGTGGAGATTTTCCGTTACATTACTCGGTGCTTTACGATATGTTGCTTTGTCGAAATATCTAGAATAATTGCAGATGAGTTCTTAACAGTTGCTACTACTTCATTTACTGTATATAACCAAATCAAAAAGAATTCCCCAACATATTTTATCGACATTCTCTGATAACGAAATTAGCTTTTCAGGTCCTACTATGCCACACTGTTCGGTTTACAGGACTTGCAGATAAAGTAAACTTGGATTGAATTGTGAAAGGTCTCCCAAAGCCACCCTTTCACCTTCCTACAGCTAATTTCTGTTCTCTATGGGGTCATTAGCAAGAACTGAGGTACAACAAGCACTTCCTGATTTCCTGTCCCTTGCTGGTCTAGCATCACGGCTCTAGAACACACTCTCCTTCTCACCTGTCCCTCTCTCATTTCCCTTCCCGACAAAATTAAATGGATCGCCCCTTCATTAAGACTAACGTATCATAGTGCAACATAGCCCTAATTCCTTTTGTTACCATTTATTAAGCATCGCCACCGCACAACCACAAAAAGAGCATGACATATAGCAGGGGTGGCCAACCTGCGGCTCGCGAGCCGCATGCGGCTCTTTGCGTGTTAAAGTGCGGCTTGCAGCTCCTTCCCTTACCCTCTCCCCTTTCCTTGCCTTGCTCCCGGTCGCACGAGGACTTCCCCAAAAGGAGAAATGAACCGCGTTTTAAATCGAAAGACAGGTGGCGGTTTGGTAGTCTTGTGTTACTACCACCTTACGTACAGTTGAACTGCTTTTGACCAGGCTAGATCCAAAGTACTTCGAGTTTTATTGCTCTGAACAAAAGTTCCCCTCCCCCGCGGCTATTGGAAGTCTCATGGCTTTGTTTGCGGCTCTTAGGCCGGGTCAGCCTGGCCACCCTTGACATATACCGTGCTTATTGAAGCAAAAAAGGTGTGATAAAGCCCTTTCCTCACAGTGTCATGGAAATGCTAATTGGAACACTGAAAATATTAAAATGTCTCATTAGAGCTTGTTTTCTACAAAAATTAAAAACTGCACACGGTACATGTCACGAGATACAGACTGTATGACGGACTGAATACATGAATGAGCTTGAGTGCATCTCAACTAGGATGAAATCTCGCAAGTCCTTACCTTTGTTTTCGTACTGAACTTCAATGCTGTAGGTGTGGTCGGCAGACGTGGCACTTCTGATGGAATACCCATGATCTTCAGTTGCGAGCTGAAGTTCCTGCAAAATGGCCGAAAATGTGTTCACAGTGATGTTTCTTTGATTTTCAAGCTCATAGTTGGTGCTTAGCCTTACACCTGCCTGACTCACAAAGACCTTGTGTACTTGCATAAATTTCCAGACGTTTTTGTAAACAGGTTGCAAAATAAGGGCATGTGCATGGCAGTGGAACTTCTAAACAAAAGTTGCTCGGAAAGTTATGACCCACACTTTTTTTTTTCTTGTCCTAAAATAAAGATAGTGACTAAAAGTCCTTTCTCGCTCCCCGAGGGTGGCATGAAACATTGAATTCTTTAGAAATTAGGAAGCTAAAGCCACATAGTGAACTGTCGTTTCACAAACCACAGCTGTTTACAGAAGTGGATGGCTCATAAATTCCCCACAAAACATGGTGGCGGCCGTGCTGTATTCTCGGTGTGCTCGGTTTCCTTATTCTCCTCGGCCACCACCCTCATACTCTTAATTTTAGCTGTGGTTCATACGGCCGCAACTTGGACTGCTTTGATCAGACATTCATCTCTGGCCGCCGCTTTAACCACACACTCACCCCGACGCTGTGCAATTCGGCATCATATTCTCTGCTTTAGTGTCCGCAGTTATGGTGACATACTGAGCCCATTTGTGAGATTATTTACGTGAACTGGATCTTATGTTTTGATGTAAAATGCATTATGAGGAAGACATACTTCCAGGACGCCAGAACTATGCACATACAGATTGCCGTCGCATGCACATTGCATAGAGTGATACGGCTGGGGTGCACTTGTTTCTTACCGATGTCAAGTAGTAAAAGGATGAGTAGATTATTTAGATAAATGTTATGCGTAGAGAAATATCTAGTAAACCCTATAAATTTCATTTATTTTCAATAACTATTGTTTGACAAAAATGTTGGGGTGTTACTTTCTAAGCAATCCTTGTGTGCTTGCACATCCATTCTCAATCATATCCTTTGATTATTTACCCCTCCATTCGCATTCTAACCCCCCATCCTCATTCCACACCGCCCACCCACTGCCAAGAAACTCACAGAACAGTCTTGAGTTTCAGGTGCTTTCTGTTCAGCAGGCACAACCTCGATTATACTGGCTGCCATGTCCTCTTTTGACACCACCTGCAAAGTTTCATTTTTCATATTGTACCTGGCATGGTGTGGTAGCACGCTAAACCTCGTCACACATTCGATTTACTAATAGGAGCTCTAGCTCGGACTTACAATAGAGTCTTCGTAGAGGTTGTCTGCTTCATTGTGCTTCCCACACTCAGATGGCGTCTCTGAATCATCCTGAGAAGAAAAAAAAATTGACAATTTGAATCACTGTTGAAATGTAATGTGGGCATGCAGAATTAATACAAGTTAATTATTTAGGTAGCAAAAAGAGACAATGCCAAAACTGCCGCCTTTTTTTAATCGCGTTTTATGATTAATTTAGTTGAACAATACTTTGTGAGGAAGTCAAGCGATTCGTGCAGTCAAGCTGGCACATAACGCATACTTCTCTATTTTTACTATCGCACCACTCAAAACCGAGAACCAAAAAAAAAAAATGTATGCAAATGAGTTTTTATACGGAATTTGAAATTGTTGCATCGTGGACGTCACACCCCCCCCCCCCCCCCTCCCTCCCCCTCTCATCCGAGCTCTCTTCTTTCCGATCGGTGGCTGTTTTCCCTCCTACTCGCTCGAGCGTTTGAAACTTGAACACGCATCAAGAGGCTTTGCAATCGGTCCCCTTGCCGGGCGCCCGGCTGCCTTTTGGCTTCGGAAATTTCTGTGTAAGGGAAGGCTTCTGACAGATGTGAACTTGATGCTTGGGGAAACCAGCGGACGAGATCTGCCACAATTTCGCATTACGCATGTTCACGGGCGCGATAGGAGCCATCGTGTGAGTCACAATTATAACTAAAAAAAAAGAACAAAAAATATATATCACAGAATTGCTCACCAGTCTGCGCCTTTTGCACGCTGGTGCTGGTGTGAGGTCCAGTTGAAGGGTCGGAACTGAGCCCTCGTCGAGGCGTTTCTTCTTTCTCTCGAACCCCAGATTCTTCGAAACCTTCCACGACGTGAAGGACTGCGCGGAGAAGTGCTCGGAACACACACGATCAAGCTGATGTAGTATCTTCGAGTTAGCGCGCAGTCGAAGGGCTTCCAGCCAGCGACTTCGCACTGGATCCTTGCCAGGTAGACGGTGAAAGGAAACACCCGCATCCCGGTGCGTGCGGGTGCAACCGCGCACGAGACACTTCATCGGAGCCGACAACCTAAAGTGATCGTTTCACCATAGGTTCATTACGGTTAATCGTCTGCACCGTCCCGTCGCCGCACTTCACTCGAATAGCGAAGAGTCTTTCACAGTACTAAAAGAAAATAAGGGTTCCCCTGGCTCCTCTTACTGCTTTTAGTTGACCGGGCGCACAAGCGAAAATACGATGCGCGGTGTCTGCACTGGACGGATCACTTGTCGTCTGCTCGCGGCGGTACGTTGCGGACGCCGCTGGGAGGCGCGCATGAGCGACGAGGCGTTGTTTTTGCCCTTTTTGAACTTTAATTTGCAACTTTATTAGCTCTATAAAAACGACTTGTTAGAGAAATAATGACGGTTAACGTGTGATATACTTTATTTCGCTTCAAATTTCCTGGGACGGCTCTCGCCAATCACGAAACCCAGTGAATGTGACGTATCGTGAAAGGGAGCACCGTTATTCGCGCGCATTCGGCACCTCGCGACGCCACCGTCGGAGGAGGTGTTTCCTAGTTGTCAAATTAAAATATGATGCGCTAATATTTTCGAACTCTTTCGTTTTCCACTGGGTTTCCGGGACCACTAACGTGTAGAAACCGCAAAAAAAAGTCGACGCTCAAATACTGTTGGAGGGCCCCTTTAACTACGGTACGCTTGGCCCTTCAGGGCATAGTGACGTCAAGGCCGCGTCGGGTCCGCCGGATCTCCCGAGACGCTTCGCGCTCTTCGATTGCTGATTTTGAACAGCTCGCCGAAATCCAGGCATTTAGATCGAAAATATATCCATCCGCTTAAAATACAAGCATGCGATTAATTGATTACAGGTTTAGGTGATACAGTTCGGCTTATTTCTTGATGATTTTTGTATATCAAGTTTCGATTCGGCATCCTTTTAATACGCGAGCCAACGAACCAGTGACAGATCCCACCGGAAGCGTCGACAACCTCAAAAGATGTCTGCTGGCGTAGATACGAGAGCACTTCCGAGCTTTATATCAAATAAAGCGGCGTCACCATGTTTCAATGCACGATTGGGACTCTTCACTTGCTTCGAATGTGCGCATCTTCTCGACTACTTATGAATTATTCGAAGTCAAAATTTCTTCAATTACACGAACGCCCGATGAACATACAGTGATGTATTCTAATATGAACACCTCCGTATCCACAAGAAAGCGTCCAGAATGCGAGTCGAGTCGTCCATAATGACAAGACAAAAATGCATGTTTATACCCAGATCATTTCCTAAACTGTTGCCTTTATAGCGGGGTATCCTTATTAACGGCATCAGTATTAAGTAGACACGTGTGTATCGTGCTTCACTCCAATCTTATGAGATAGTGGTTTCTCAACAGACTGGTTTGTAGATATATCATATACAAGCGAACAAGTATACAAGGCTGTATTGTATAATGGTCAGGAGATCTATGCAGAGACAGTATAAAATCGTACTTCCGTAACAGCTACACAAAACGTTATCGTCGCCCTTTTGTTGGCGCGAACGGTAGAACTTGAACTTGTGTATTGTGTCTCACTGAAATTAATCCTAAACGCTTTTAAAGATGTCTCTTCAACCACATTGGATCAATCTCGAAACTTCGAACTAATTGATAAGGAACTAAGACTCTCTCGCATAAAGTTATCAGTACACAATTCAATTATCCACTTATCTTTTTCTCGGTTTAAATTATAAGCTGCCAAATAAAAGAAAGGTACAAACTCCAACTCACCTCGCGTTCTTTAATGGTGAAGATACACTCATTGAGACACATAAAAATAATGTTTCCCATGTCTTGTAATTTAAGCATCATTCAATCTCTAAGATGTCATTCAAAGTTTAGTAACATGCTCACCTGAAAAGGAAACTGCACCCGGCACCATTATTTGCTTTTATTATTAATAAAAGTTTAATGCATCCGCATTGTAAGGTTTCGCAAAAAAAAAAAAGGTTAAAGGTTTAAGCTTCACCCTCCAAATTTTGGTCTAAACCAGAGATTAAAAAGAAGGCCAGAGTTATATTTATTTATATAGCTATTCGCTTAGAATATCTTCGATGTAGTGCATTGAAAACGGGACTGGAGCTTATAAATCAATTACCAAGTGCGCATATCAATACGAGCATTTTTGAACAGGCTTGCCCCTGCTCGCGTAAGGTTATTTCGCCGGTCTCTTCAAGAAACAGTACAGATGTGTTTTGAGGCGGGGACGGGCATCATAGAACGCTATTATTTAACTGAATTATCAACCATTTTTGCAGATCGTCTGCCAATCTAAAATGAATGCGGAATGACAAAAAGGAAAGCACTAGGTTACCTAAACTTTATGTTAAACGCAGTAACTGAAAAAAGTCTGAGCAATATTCAGATAAATTTTGTGGTAAACTCATCAAACGCCCCTGTAACAAAGGGCTTGTGTACACCATAGGTGAATACCTTGCCCCTAGCTTAATGCAGTTAACGAATAATCAGTTATGGTTTCCCTACGTGAATTAACTCGATAAAAAGACACCGTGTAATGGGAAGCCGTATTCATATCTAGTTCTTATGGTTGTAGGTATGTCCGACGTGAAGTACACACATACATTTATCTTGACAAAATTGATGAAATATTTATCTTTCTAACCTTAATATCTGGAACTCAGAGGTTGTCCTGTGATGAAGCAGTGGTGAGGGTGCAGGCTAGCTGATGTAAATTGAAATAAAGTCTGTAGCTGCGTTTGAGATTTCGCCCGTGTCGTTCTGTGTTTGTCCCATGCCCGTATCCCCAGTCTCGGGTTTGCAACTATGCTTGTCCTGTGTTTTGCAACCACAGCGCGTTACAACCACAGAGCGTTGCTGTGATAAACAATGCCACCAAATGCATGCGTGTATTTATCAGGATCGGCGGAAATTAGACGGCGTGATAACCGTCATGGTCTACAAACTAATTAACTGAAATCTGATCATCACCTTTTTAACTATGAAATTTATGGGTCACGTTTCAATTGTGATTTGAGTTACAGCAATAAATATTACGTGCCAGCACAATTGAAATAATTTGTAAACGGTAAATATTCTTTATAACAAGTTTTCGCATATTTCTAACCCGTTTTGAAAACTGAGCCCAAAAAAAGTGCCCGAGGCTCCGCCCACGATGACACTTAGAAGAGTGACCTCGACGTTTGAGCCATGACGTCAACATATCCGTAGTGTGTCGTCGGTGCGTGCACGAAGAACGTGCTTCACGACGTAGTAACGACGTATAGACCTTTACCACAAAAGCGCCGTCAAATCGTCACTTCAGTTATGGGTGAAAACACTGTTTTGCCGTCGTCACGCCAGTAGTGTACATTTAGGATACAAGCTTAACGGTCACCCAATCTCGTATTGCCCCCCCCCCCAACTCTATTTTTTTTTTTTGCTATTTGCAGGTTGAAATGTTTTATTTATTTATTTTTTTCGTCGCCCATACCAGATATGCCTACCGGCTGACTGGACAGTAGAATAAACAAAAAAAGTTTATAGTCACCAAATTTTTCGCTTTAGTATGAACGACTTCTATGCTCCTTCTACATTTTGTTGATGTTGTTGCTCAAACTAAAATAATTTAAAAACGCCACTCCATAGCTAGACATCCTACAATATTTATTCTATATGCCCCCCTTTACCAATTTACAGGATGGATTGTTCTTGCGTCTCCCTAAATAGTGTAACAAGGTACTCCTTGAAAAAAGCCGGATGCACGCCCAGTACGCACTCGCCGCTACAAAAAAAAAAATTACGTATTTTAGCTTAATTGAATGACCACGCAACGTACAAAAATACTGATAGAAAGTTCCAGTAAATAGCGCAACATTGTTAGCTCCATCAAGCGATCTCAGGACCTTAGAGTGGTTCTCTCCCAATTAAATACTTATAATTAGATGCACTAATGTGGAGGGATTTCTTCATTTGGAACACGAGTTTATGACGTAAAATTTGTGTTAACCAAACATCTGTTTCATCAAAACCCGAAAAAATGTTGATGTCTGGTTCGCGTTGTGTCATGTAGTGCATACATCTAACAGCTAAAATAAGTCCATAACATGCAAAAGCGCTACAACAACTTACATCACCTACAGCATAAGTTCACGAAATGCGTCAAAGCTATCAAATCCGGCTGAATAATATTTTAATAGATTCAGGTCTGAACCTGAAGGCGAAAATGCGTCCAATCTCATCGTTCGAATGGAGATCCTGTTAAATAAGAGAAGCACGAATTAAAGGCTAGCCCTAGTCTAGACCCGCAACACGCGTGTTTAATCAGTGTCCTGCGCTCGATCGAGGAAGGTGGCGTAAAGATCAATCCGGCTCTCAGGCGCCGTGTTAGTAAACAGCAATCAAGCTCGTTTAAAGAGTGTATTTTTTGTGTGTGTGGAAATAGAGGGCGTTACGAGGGAAGTGGCTTGGAAACAAGGCGCGCTCACTATGCGTTTTTAGAGATGTGCACTTAAGGTTTTGTTGTGATCAGAAAAATATTGAGCTTACTTTTATTGAACGACCTCGCCACAGCAAAGTAATTAACGAAAAGGAGTGTTTATTTAAGATTAGTAAAAGTCAGCTGGAAAAAACTGTCGCCGGCGTTTATGCTCCCTCACAATAGAAACATTACTATGAAAGTTACAATCAAAATAAAATATGCTTATCTAGGCCAGAGAAGTTGAAGGTAAAAATTTGTGTCTGTCAATAACCCGCTTAGTAAAACCCTAAAAGCGCCGGTGTCCGGTTCGCGGTAACTTTGTCGCGCAGTTTTGGGCGCACAACTAAAGTACGCCCAAAATAGTTGACAAATCAAGTGACAAACTAGATAGTTAGCCCTCATGTACATCATAAGACGCGAAACTGCTCAATACGACTGGATCCTGTTTAGGCAAGGTCAGCTAAACATCAGATCACTAAATTCGTGAAGTGGAGATGGAAGCAGAACACTTCATGACCCATTTTATAACCAAATGAGGAGTTACTTTATACAAAATGTTGCGGAAAAATGAAGACACACCTAATTAGTTCGTCCACAAAACAAGCGCGCATTAGGACGAACGTAAAATAAGCGGTGTACGCAAGGAAAGGAGGGGGTGGGGGAGTTGTTAGAAATCAATCAATATACGGTTAATTTTTTTTATTGGCATATATATAATAATTGCCGTCACCAAAAATCGCAGTCTTCTTTTCGGAGTAAAGGAAGAAATATTTGTTCAGCGTTCTGGTACCTGGAAAGAAATCATGCGAGTAGTTAATGAAACCATGAATGCAAGTAGTTAAACTGTTTATTGCTTTTTTAATGAAGCTGTGTAGACCCTACAAACCATTACACTTGATCATGTCCTGTTTACCATTAGGCGCCTCTCAATTGCGCACGCAAGTAACAATGGACCGTCGGAATTTTTTAATGGAATTCATTACAACTTGGAATTGTAAAGGATGACCTTATTTAGTATTGCGGCTCAAGATCTTAGTTAACTTAACGTTCAACGCGATATTGATTTGTTTTTTATGAAGTTACTTTAAATCAGTTTACGAAGGCATTTAAATCGTTCAAGGATAGTGGCGGCTCTCTTTGTTCTCTCAAAGAAATATAAAAGAGGATAATTCTGGGTGGTCTGAATAATACATCTTGCTACCTTAAAGCATTTTGCTCATAATTTGCATGTACAGTCCTTCACCCCTAAAAGCTGGGGAAAGGCGTTAATTAAAATGAATGATCAAATCCTTAGAAGTTTCTGAGTTTTCTTTAAGGCCTTAGCATCACAGCATTCAAACGCGTTTCTAGCCGATTAACTAAAGTAAAACATAGGCTAGAAATTGGTTCATATCTGACAAAATTACCTTACGCAGAATACATTTGTACGTACACAAAATTGAATAGACTTGTCTAAGTATCAAGAATGATACCGTGAGTTCCTACGAGAACGTCATTGGTAGTCGGTTAGGTAACATGGTCGCTTACGGTAGTCAATAGGATTAAAGCGACATTTGGAAGGAAGCCCTGTTCGGCGCTGACTACACGCATCATATTTATGTTAAAACGTTATCTGCTATGCCCAATCGTATTTTAAATCCAATTCGCAAACCTGAAACTATATGATAATACCGTCCATTTCAAACTACGGCTTCACCTTTTATTCATAAAAACAAAATACTAATGTTAAAAGCTCGGCAATTATATTTGTTCTATTAAAAGTAGCTACTCTTTCATAAACAAATATTTTATGTGAAAGTTCTTTCTTTTATCAACAAATTTAAATCTTAGTACATCAGGTTTGAGCAGGCGACCTTGCTATAAACGACATGAATGATGTCGGCGCTATGTTTTGAAAATCATCTTACCTAATTTGCAACATGTCTCCTCTCCTCTGGGTATCTTGGTCGTCCAGGAAATGAGGGTCTGAAACCTAAAGAATAAATGTGGTTGTGAGGTTCGTGCAAATACACCTCTATTTAAATGTTTTTTTAATAGTTTCACGTAGTGAGATATCCGAGGCCAGTTAGAAAAGTATCCGACCTTTGGCCGAGAAAAACAAACTGGCATAACGGGAGCGTTGGAAACCCAATCACCCTGAAAATAGTCTTTTTGGAACTCCACACAGGTCTCCCAGCGGTGCTGCCATTGTTGGAAGCATTCAAAGGAGGCCTCTTTCAGAATGGAGTTAAGCTGAGCTGTCGTTGCAGCCATAATGTCCTCTCTTCTCTGAAATCGCTCTCCTTTCAATGGCCTCTTGATTATGGGAAACAGCCAGAAGTCGCGGGGAGTAGCCCCGCGACCAAGAGAGGAAGTAGCCTGTTGAACTACAGGAGCCTGGTTTTTCGCCAAGAAAGTCTGAATCATGTGCGAGGAATGTGCAGGAGCATCGTCGTGGTGGATACGTCAATTTCCTCTTGACCGCCATAACTCCGGTTTTTTGCCCCGCACAGCATCACGTAGGCGACGGAGGACATCCCTGTAGTACTCTTTGATGATTGTTTGACCTTGTGGTGCGTACTGGTAGTGTACCACACCGCGGGAGTCAAAGAAATCAGTCAGCATCACTTTGACGTTGTTGCGCACTTGGCGGGCCTTCTTCAGTCTTGATGACGTGGAACGCTTCCGCCGTGACGACTTGGATTTGGTTTCCGGGTCGTACCCGTCCAACCAAGACTCGTCACCAGTGATTATGGTGTTCATAAAGTCGGGCTTACTGTTTGTGGAATCCAAGATGTCCTGTGGGACTTGAACACGAAGTTGCTTTTACTCCACCGCGAGCAGCTTGAGCACGAATTTTGCGGCAACTCTCTTTATTGCCAAATTTAGGTCATAATGGAATGTGCAGAAAAAAGGGCTGATGTTCACCTCTTCCGCAATTTCTCGGATAGTCACACGACGGTCCCGCATCACCAGAGCGTTCACTCCGGCAATGACCTGATCATTTGGGCATGTTGATGGCCGACCGGGGCGTGGCTCGCTCTCCACTGATGTGCGGACGTCTTTAAACCGGTTGTACCACTCCTTAATCTGTGTGATGCTAATAGCATTGTCACTGAATCCTCCTAATGGTTTCCATATAGCTGTCGCTCAGTTTCTGGCAAAGTCTGATGCAGTAGCGCTGCTCCAGTCACTGCGCCATTTTTTTTGCAATAAAAAAACCGACGAGAGCACCACGCACTATACCTCACTCAAACGCTGCGTCTCAGCGACAGACGCTATCGGCAGGCGGGAAAAAAATTCACGCATCGGTACGAAGACTCGAGGTCGGCTGATGCAAGCACGCTTCTTTCATATACATCAGGTGTTCGCAAAAAAAAAAAAAAAAATAAAGGTCGGATACATTTCTAACAGACCTTATGTAGCTGTGTAAGCGGTAAGAGAATACAATGTTGCTTCTAAATCTTCTCCCAGAAATTGCATCCAAGGCAATTCCACCAAACTCGCTTATTCTTGTTGCTTGCTTCTTTAAATCTCGAATTGTCCTGCCTGACTATCCAACAGCGGTCCAAAGAGATCATGCACAAAACAATAAAGTCAACCCCCCCCCCCCCCCAAAAAAAAAATAATAATAAAAAAAATATTTAACGATTGTTCAGTAATCGCAAGAACGTGACCAGCAAAATGCTGCTTCGATTAAGCTTCGTCGTAAATCTAACGTCACCATCACAAAAGTTATTCCTGTTCACTTCATGTTATTACTAAAGACTTCTTGGGCCCGGTTGCACCCGACGCTTATAAAACACACACAATAATGAACATTTTTTTACAAGTTTAAGTTGTATATGGAAATAAAGTAATATTTTTCCCTCTCTGTATACAATTGTCTCGGTTGTGCTTATGCAGTGAAATTGGATATCCAGTATTTGATAAGGTTACAAAAAAATCAGCACCTTAACGTATCAAAACTCTCTAGACGTCTCAATATTTTGTGGGTCGGTTTGCTTTGAGAATAATATAGTGTGACTTGCGTAAATGACGTTGAAAGAAGTGGATAATCGCGCATATACTACCTAAAGCTCCTACAAAAAACAAAACAAAAAGAACAAAGGTACAGGTAAACGTAACAGCCCTCTCTCCTACCCAGACTTAAGCTGAAAGTATAAAATGTTTTCATTGCTTAGAACGCTCTATGGGATCGCAAGCTGATGCGTCTACAGTAAGAACACCTTTTATACTTCGAGACAGCAAATGACTGGATATATTGTTTTGAGAACACAGAAATTGATATCGCAGCAAGACGCCGCCGCACCCACCGTTGCAGAATCGTTCACACTGGTCCATGGTACGATAGCCACCACCGTCAGGACCGCAGCCTCCGTAAATGTAAGGCAGGCAGTGACCCTCCACGCATTTGTAGCGCTGGAACAAAGCCTTGCAAGGGCCGGGGCCTGGCATTCCTGGCCAACGACGCCCTGTAAGGCACCCGGTAATAAATACGAAATTACGGAGACTGCATTAGAGCTGTTTTAATGCTTCAGATTTCTTCCGGGACCCTCCATGGACCTTTCCTACCCGCCTTGGTCTTACCGCTTAACGTTACAAATTCGCCCCGTAATTTAAGGTCGCATGGCCCGGTCACGTGACTTGACATGACGTGACATTAGGTCGCGTGACTTCAATTTTCCTGAGAAATTTAGCGACGAAATAATTATGACGACACGTGACCTGATGTCATGACGTCATGTGACGTCAAAGTGCCTGGCTCCGCTATCGTGTCGCGTGTCCAACGTCACAATCTGGACGTTAAGTTTAATCCAGGTGATTATTTTTTATCACTGGTCCAACAGGGAAAGCAATGGGAAGTTTAACTTAACTCTCTTGGTTGTAACCTCTCCGTTCTTGTGAACCGGCGTCGTTCGTACTGCTCATGCGCTTAGGGATCCACAGTTTATCTCCGTCGCGGTGAGACCCTACTTTTGTTCAACGCTAAAGAATTAAAGCGTTGCGCTTCACTTAGCAGGTACGGAACACTACGCTCAGTAGCTTTTCTTACTTTACCAGTAGGTGGTTTTTAACTAAAACCATGTTAGCAGGATTAAATACTTTCTTCTGAAATAAATTGTACGCTCAAAGCGAGGCCAAGGAAGCTACATCGAAATCAATTTGATTCGCAAAAAAAAAGCGGGACGTTCAAAAGATGGGAGGAGGAGGTAGCCTGCAGAAATGAAAACGCAATTACATTCCACAGAAGGGCCAATGACTAAAATTGATATGCCTATATTGCGCAAAAGTGTATAGAAATAAAAGAACTCACAATTTACACCAATAATGAAAGCGCGTTATTATTGAAACAGACTTTGCTTCCAGTTTTGCCGCACCATTCCAGGAACACTGCAGTCGGTGTTACAGAACAAGGTTTTGAAGAGCCTAATTTTCGTTTCGGGAAATAAAATTATTGTCTTTAGAGCATGTTCTAGAAGCCCTTGAGGGTTTAAGATTATTCAAAATGTTAACAATCAGGTGTAAGTTCTGATCAGAATAATGCCTACTTAAGGAGTAGTGAACTGCCGAGTATTCTTCATCAATACAAAATCCATATCCACATCACCATAGAACAATCATCTAAAAAATGCTTGAAACTTAGCGCGAATATTACAAGTTACTGAGCCCGTCAACCGTATATACTCTGATATTAGCTTAACTTTTTCATTTCTTATAATTACCACTCTGAAGGACAACAAATAATATTCTTTGATTCGTGCACACAGTTTATACCAGCACTGGCTAAAGACAATGGCAAACGAATACACTACGAAACTTTGAACACGCGAAAATATTGCTTCACGAGATATTTTCTAGATTGAGAAGCTTACCTTCAGAAGCCGCTACAAGAATCATTAGGGCAAATGTCAATAAGAGAACCTTCATTTTGGCTCGAGTTAAGCGAACACTGGGAGCTCTTCTCCAATTATGGCTGGATGGATTCGTGTGATGTCTATTTATTCAAGCGTGTTGCCACGGATGGAAAGAGGTTATACCAAGATTCAGAGTAATTCGCTGACGTCAAGTGCTCGTGCATTTCTATTCGAAGGAGATAAAAAGACAATTGTGTAAACCTAGAGATACATCATCTTTGCAGTTCAATATACGCGGCCGACCAGATAACAAACGCGCCTGGGAAATACCCATTATAGATATAAGGCAATAACACGCCGTAAGTCTTGTGCTCTACGTTTTTGTTGGTCGAGATAAATGTATAGGAAAACCATAATTGCAATAACCTCAGTGATCTGTTCCACGCTCAGCGAGAGCCGTTCTTAACATTGCAAACATTAAAAAGGAAGCGCAGAAAATAAAATCATACGCAGATGGGTTTTTAATTGCTGAAAAATGTCTCAGAAGACGTCATGTCATGAGAGACATTATATTTTAGGAATTAAAAAAGAAATGTAGGTGAGCAGGTAAGATTTTAAATCGCACGCCTAGCTAAACCTGAACAAAAATAAAAGAAACGTAAAATTAACCACACCAACATGTGCAGTCGCAGACCGATTTTTCGGACTTGCAGGGGACTCCAAAATTTTCCGAATAACTAAGTGGTCTGAAAAATCGATTTCAGTCAAAATATCAAATTTCCGCGCGCATTCCGCTGCGTATTGGCCACTTTCCAATTGCTCCATACTGATTTAAAGTACTCGTGCAACTTCCGCATTATGTTGTACACTTTTCACTTGTTTGTTGATCTATTTGATCATAGTGGTGCCCATTCTCGGCGCCTTCGTTGGCACAAAATGCTAAGTTGGTGTTGGTGCCATATGGCACTATTATGAAGCAACGTTTATTCCACCACGCTCGCTTCAATACTAAGACAATCGGCAAAAACCTCTGTCAAAGACCATAAGAACAGTAGCCGGCGGCCATGTTGGCTATAGCTGTACTGGAAAACCAGAGTATAGCCTCAACGGAGCTTGATTATTACGCAGGACGTGGTATCGAGGCTACAGGGCAGAATTAAAACCAAAATGGCGACCACTAAGCTCGCGGCGCTATTGCGGCGGCTGTTTTGTGGCTATAAACTGAGAAAATCGCGCAAATGATGTCCGAAATATCGAGCAATAAGCTTTATGGAGTCCGAGATTTGGATCAATGTTATACATTAACTCTATGGGGTGAGTGACGATTCGGCGAAAACGAACCCAATAATCGGACATGTCTGAATAATTGGCGCCTGAAAAATCGGTCGCCGACTGTGTACTGGCTCTAAGCAGCACTCAATATTTGGCTTCACTTCGTACGAAATATTTTTCGAATTCTGAAATAAATTTTATTTCTAAAATAGGTTTTGATAAATATAGTATTTATAAGTATTATTTTCAATGCAAAAGATCGGGGTACAGGTATGTGGCAACCGTGGAGGTCCTCGGAGGTCGTTCCGTGATCAGATCAAACGAACTTTAATATCATGGGCTATTACCTACACAGTTTCATTATGACCTTAAATTGAAACTGTTATTTTCATAAAATCTCAAAGGGCCCGTGAAAAGAAACAGAAAGCTTTTTTGAACAGTTTGTTAAAACACGCGTGTGAAATACAAAATAATTTTATGCGAACAAAAAGTTTCATCGCATTATTAATGGCATGAGACGCGATTCAGTTGGCAGTCACCTCTTTTCCACTTGTTTTCCTTCTCGGCACATCGGACGCTTGGAGGCGAGGTGGCTCGGCTTCGCCTTGACGACCGAGAGGGTCATTCCGGAATGACCTGTGTCGTCATGAACTTTGCGCGCAGAAATTCATAAAAATCTCTCGACGTCGATATTGGTCTAAACATTTTTTTTTTCGTGTAAAATTTATTTTTCGACAAGGGTGTCCTAACCAAACTGTTTTAAAAAATCATGTTTCTTTTTTCTCAGGGACCCTTTAAGCACTGTCCGGTTGCTATTACTAATGCGTAAAAACAAACCGTTCTCGTGGAAGACACTGCAGCAAGTAGAAACCAAATGAGCTCACAATTTGAAGGTTCGAAACAACCATTAGAACAGCTGCTTAGCTATACTAATGCTTACACCATAAGCTATCTCATTAAAGTTTATATAAAAAAGAAAAATAAGACTTATAGGAGTGTTTGAAACTTTGAATAACCACACATTGCAAAGTATACGCAGTTCGCGAACAGGTAACCCCGGCGATGTACGCATTGGTCGAGGGATGCAACCAAAAGCTCTCATGAATGTTATATTTTGGTGGAGTATATCTTCCCTGATTTATTTATTTTAAAACTTTTATCAATATCACTTGAAATAATTACTCTCTGGCTCGGACACTTAATTGCAGTAACTAATTAATAAAGCATAAAGATCTCCCGCACATGGATACGTATCAAAGTTTATATAGCTAAAAACCTACAAGTAGCACGCACGCTGCAGTTCTTACTTTTGCTTCCCAACTAAGTCCTCAATTAGCCAGAACAACTGCCTAAGAAAAACATATGAGCTCATGGAACACAGGCTGCAGGAAAATTACGAAAATTAAGCAAGCACTCCTTGAGCCAAGGAGCATGTTAACCCGCTGGCGCCCCACTAAGTAGCTGATACTTGTATTTCAATTTCAAAGGATACCGCCATCAAAACAGTATTTCGTCAAACTGATCTTGATAAATTAAAAAAAAATCTGCAGGTTTTATTTCAATTTTTATTTTTGTTTTCAACAAAATACTTCCGGTTATCGGAGCATATGGGGAAGCAAACATGACATGGCCATTAGATTTTCCAGTCATAAAACATCCGTGTGACTCGAGTAGCTGGTCAACGTCCAATCAACAATTAGAAAAGAAGCAAGATAAGGAGCGTACTTTCAGGACAAAAGAAACGGCCCGAGGACAGAACAATGCAAACTTTATCTCGCGTCAACCAAAACATCAAGAATAAAAGGGTTCTATCCGCAAAGCTTAGATTTTTCTTGTTTGGGAGAAGTTTCGAGCCGGGGTTCTTCGGCTTCCCCCGAGTTTGACCAAACCTACTCAAGGGTTCTCTTTCGGATATTATCAGTATGCATTATAGGCGCGAAACCTTCGTTATAATATACCGGGGAATTCGGCGTCCTATAAAAACTCACTGAAATCTTTATGTGAGCCCAGCGCGGCGCGTTCATGTAGGCAAGTCGGCAGCGCTCTGGGCTTACTTACACGCAGGTGATTCGGGTTCGATTCCCGGCACCGCGTGTGCGTTTACCGTTCTTTATATAAATGGAAGTTTCGAGAAGGTCCGAGAACCGCCTAGCTTGCTCATGTTCACGAAACGAATCGAGGCTGAATTTACGCAGTTGCATTGAAAGAGGGCAAGGGAGAATTGGGAGAGGCCTACCGTCCCGGTTTCTTCCTCGCTGAAATGAGTGAAGCGAGGAAATCCCTCAGAAGTGCGCCTTGTGAATGCATGCGATGCCCGATGGTCGCTTGCTTCGCCCGCAGTTTACTCTCTGTTTTTGCTTTCCTAGGTCTAATTAGAGCTATTGGATTCGATGGCAACCCCAGCCCGGGTACCTCGTAGGCACTTGAATTCGTCTGTCACAATATCCAGCTTGCTAGTCAAATTTTCCAGGACTCAAGCGATGCTTGCGGCAATGAGAAGGCTTTGTTCCGCTGCAGATGACTCGCCGTTCAAGGCATTCACCTTGTCATCGATGGGGGAATCTGACGCGCCAGCAGGTTTCAAAGATATAGTGCGTCGGCGGGTGCAGGCTGTGCACTTGAAGCTACCTGACTCAGTTTCCATATATACATTGTACTGCTTGAGGCCCATATTCAGGCATTTGCAGTAAAATTTCTCGCAACAACCAGCCGAAAAAAAACAACAGAAAATGGCAGCATCGCGTAAAACCGCGCGTCACAACAGCCGCTCACACCTTTTTGCGGAACACCGGCAGACACGTCACTGCCGCAGCCATCACCGGCTACCATGATGCTGTCTTTATTTTTAGTGTACCTCTTGTGAAAACAAATATTAGGTATCATAAAGAAAACAATGTTTTAATTGAGTGTGTTCTAAAGGCTACTATATCAAGGGTGCTAATTTTTAACCAACAAACAATCGTACGACGTAATTTTAGATAGCCTCGTGACATATTATCTTTTTAATTTCTTAACAAACTAAAATGCCAGACGGCTAAAAATAGTTTTTTTTTTTTAAGAAACTGGCGAAGGAATCTCCAAATGCGAGCAAATGGCAGCAGAATAATTAGTAGCTTTTCGTTGTCATCATTTGGACGCGCCAGTGTTATCTGGTTCAACTCAACTAGATTTTATTTTTCAAAGGAAGTGCTTTGAACACTAAAGAAGAGCTAAAAATTAGCAGTGAAGACATGGGGGATGCTTTTATACGTATTTTATTTAATTATCTTTTGTAAAATTATCCTAGAAGGACTTGTGCGCACAATAAAAATCTATATTTAAACACAATTTGCTTGGATCCCGTGATTACAAGGTATATTGGTGTTTATGAACGTAAAAACAATTGGCAGCGTCCTTCACTTTGCAAGTGATATAACGCATGAAATTAATTATAACGAATTAGTGATAGCATCGGTGTCACGTCACGTGGTTTATTTTCTTGGTAAACTTAGCGGGGAGACTGAATGGTTGGTTCGGTCACGATTTATCGAGAAAACTGGATTACTGTCTGGGTTACAAGACGTGAACTTTCCCGCAAAATTTAGCGGTAAACTGCATAGGTGTATAAGGCACGTGACATCAATTTACTGCTAAAGTTAGCGGAGAAAGTGAACTGATGTTTTGGCCAAAAGACGTAAGGTTTTCCGCTAAATGTAGCGGGAAAACTGAGTTGACGTAGAGGTCAACTGCCGTCGATTTCCCCAAGGTTTATCAGTCCCATGATGCCCTGTGACTCAAATCGCCTTGGTAACTTTAGCGGAAAATGCACGTACATACTGACTGACTGACGGACGAATGGACACATTTTTGGGGATTGGGGGTTTGCG